TTCCCTTCCTTCCTCCCTTTTTTCCAGCCCTTTCCTTCCTTCCTTCCATTTTCTTCCCCCTAATTCCTTTTATCATTCCTATTTTCTTCTACCTAATTCCCTGCATATTTTTCTTCCCTCCCTCTCTCCCCCAGAAGAACTGAAAAGCAATCTGGGGCCCTCCTGCCACCTGGATTGGCTCTTTGCTCCGTGATGTCATTCCCTCCTTGGGAGATGATTGGCTCTCCTTGCCTAAGGCAAGCATCGGCAGAGGGCGGGGAGGCCAGCTGTCAGGCTCTCTCGCCAGGTGTTCCGTGGACAGGTGCGCCTCCTCGCATTCTCGCACAGGTGAGCCCTCCCTAAAGGGAGACATGGGGCAGGGGGGGGCTCCATCCTCACTGGGGCAGGTTGCTGAAGAAAACGCAGGAGGATTCCTCTGAAAAAGGGAGGTCCCAGGAGTGAATCTGTGAATCTGGAAGATTCAAGAGGGAATCCTTTGGGTCCCCGGAGTGCAGCGTCCTTTTCCTGCCAGGCCAGAAATCCCTCTCGTTTTTATCCCTTGGCTTTACCTGGAGCGCATTCAGGGCGTCTTCAGTGGGGGGGGGAGGCATCCAGGGGTTCTAATCCTGTCAATCAAATCCTGCAGTGGGGCTTCCAGCAGCACGGATAGGATGCCTGCTTCCTCGGAGGGATACCTTCTGCTTTCCCGCTTGCATTTCCTGCACCCTTGCATGCAAGCGGCAAGCTTCAGAAGGGGGCCTTGCTGTGCACCGCAGGCACTTTGGCGCGCCAATGCGTTCTGATGTACAGAATCCCATCCGCCATGGAGGGAGGGGTTTCCCACCAAAACAGGACCCCCCAGGTACCCGTGCATGAGATGATTTATGTTAAGGCTGATCTTTATAAAAGAGTGAAAGTGTATCCCCCTCTTCCTGTTGTGGTGTTAAGGTCTGAATTCACAAGCCCACGCCCCGCCCTGCAAAGGTTCCTTCTGTTGTGGTTCATTGGCAGCCTGTGCAGACGGCAGCGGAATCGGACAGTGGGGAAGAATGGGGACCAGTCCGGGAGTCTGGAGAGGACGTGGATGAGGGTCCTGCGTCCAAGGCAGAGATAGGGCCAGAAAAGGAGGATGGGGGGACCTGATAGCAGTCTTCCAATATCTCAGGACTTGCCACAAAGAAGAGATGTGAACAAGATTTGGAGACTCTAAAAAAAGTACAGAGAAAAGCAACCAGGATGATTAAGGGACTGGAGACTAAAACATACGAAGAACGGTTACGGGAACTGGATTTGGGTAATCTAGGGAAGAGAAGGACCAGGGGAGGCAGGAGAGCAACCTTCCAATATTTGAGGGGCTGCCCCAGAGAGGAGGAAGGGGGTCAAGCTATTTTCCAAGGCACCCAAAGGCCAGACGAGGAATAATGGATGGAAACTGAACAAGGAGAGGTTCAACCTGGAAATAAGGAGGAATTTTCTGACAGGGAGAACAATCGACCCGTGGAACAGAATTTGCGGGAGCTTCATCCCTGGAGGCTTTCAAGAAGAGATTGGACTGCCTCCTGTCAGGAATGGTGCAGGGTCTCCTGCTTGGGCGGGGGGATTGGACTAGATGACCTGCAAGGTCCCTTCCAAACTCTGTTAATCTGTAATCCCAAATGGAGGTGAAATTTCCCAACGGGAGTAAGGAGGAAGAGACCCATTTGGCTTGTCCTTTGTTAGCCCTGTGTGAGACTTTCGCGTGCTCCCTTTGTGATTAATTTCTAAAAAAAGAAGGCGACCCAGCTAGAATTACAAACAAGCCCAGCTGCACACAGAGAAAATGATGCCGGCGTAAAATCTACTCTCCACGCTCAGTTTGGTTCCAAGGTGGGTTTCAATGGGAAGGGGATCCCTTGGGCCAGCTGGAAAGCGGGAATATGCAACTTTCTCTCTGCGGCCCAGCGTTGTCGAACCCAAACTGCCATTTGTCCAAACAGGTTTTTTTTCTTCTTTTTCCTCCTGCAGATTGAGACGGTGCCCGGCCATTTAATGGAGATGAAGGCATAAAAGAGACGCAGGAGTTCTCCATAGGTGTTAAAATCCCAACCGAAGACGCTTCAGGATCTGAGCTCAGAAGGAAAATGGATCGGCTGAAGGTTCCCCGGACAAAAGAATTGGAATTTGGGGGTGTATTTGGTGAGGAGGAGGAAAAATTGGGGTGGGGAGCCCAGAGCTTTGACATCTCTAGTTCTCAAGTTTTATTATCCCTTCTTACTCTCTCCTTTAAGAACCAGAGCAGAGGTGGTATTCAGCCAGTTCTGAGAGGTTCTGGAGAACCAGTAGCGGAAATGTTGAGTAGTTCGGAGAACCGGCCAATACCGCCTCTGACTGGCCCCGCCTCCATCTATTCTCCGCCTCCCATTGAGTCCCAGCTGATTGGCTGGGTCTCCTTTGGTTGCCCTGCACAGGAGAACAGAGCTGGAAAGCAGGTTAGTGGGGTGGGGAAGGAATGGAGATTTTGCAGTAACCTTCCCCTGCCACGCCCACCAAGCCACACCCACAGGACTAGTAGTATAAAGTTTTTGAATCCCATCACGGAACCAGAGTACAAGTAATCCTCAACTTCTGACCACAATTGAGCCCAACATTTTGGTTGCTAAACGAGACAACAGTGAAGTGAATTTTGTCCCATTTTACAACTGCCACATTTGTTAAGGAAACCACTGCCACTGTTCAATGAGTCCCACGGTTGTTAAGTGAATATCGGCTTCCCTATTGATTATTGTCAGAAAGTCAGGAAAGGGCTTGGAACGTGACCCCAGGACGCTGCGTCCATCATAAATGTGAGTCATATGTCAAGCATCCGTGACCATGGGGATGCTGCAATGGTCATAAGTGTGAAAAATGATCCTGTCACCTTTTTCAGTACCATTGCAACTCTGAATGGTCCCTAAGCAAACTGTTGTAAGTCGAGGACGACCTGTAGAGGGAAAGGCTGAAAAATGACGGTGCTTCTAATCCAGCCCCGTCTCCACAGGGCCAGCTTGGCTGTGGGGCTGAGGGGGAGGGACTGGCCTCAGGTGCTCCCAAGACATGTCTGTGGCCAGTAACTTTTCATTGATTGATTGATTACATTGATATGCAGCCCCTTTCCCCATACAAAGTGACTCTAGGCAGCTTATTTATTCATTGATTATCTCCTTTTAACAACCCCATATAATCCCTTGCGGGGTGGAGTCTGGGCACCTGAACAGAGCCGAACGTTTACTGGCCGGATGCCCTTCCTATCTCTAGAGCAGAGTTTTGTTCAGCAGATATATTCCTATTGTGCCCAGAGAGAGAAATATCTGCCTCCACCTAGGACTGAACTCACGAGCCTCCTGATTGTGAGGTGAGAGCTCCACCTCTAGGCCAGCGTACCGCTCCTTATTTAATCATTGATTGTTTTATTAAATTTATGTGCCGTCCATCTGACTATCCGAGAAGTCTCTTTGAAGCTTCTTTATTTATATAAAAAAGGACTTATTAAATTTATCTGCCAGCCACCTCATTCTTCAAAGTGAATCTGGGTGACTTATTTATTTATAAAATTTACTTTTATTAAATGGATTACATTGATTGGACGCCCATCTCACCCTGCAAAGCGACTGTTGTTTTGAGCCGAGTTGTGTAACAAGGGCTTCTTCTTCTTCTTCTTCTTCTTCTTCTTCTTCTTCTTCTTCTTCT